GATTTCATGTACCCAATTATAGTTTTGTCGCTGTCTTAATACTGCTATCGAGTTAGGGTGAGTTTATCAAACTAGTTTAGCTAGATAGAAGACGTACAACAATGCAAAAAATAGGAACACGTGATATTAGAAACAATCGTTTATTAACTATAGTACAAAGTATGTGGGCGCGCACTGTGACACCTACATGATTCACGTAACCACGCCCTGAAATCATCGCCGCGAGCACAATCTTAGTGACAGTCGACTCAAAAACATCATATATACGTGCTCGAGGCGGTGACGATCGTACGTGACTATTATAGTGGACGTCACATCATCGACGTGACGATCTACAGTGCGTACTATAGTGACGTTCACATATCGACGGTGACGATCTACGTGTTGTATAGTGACGTCACATATCGAGGTGACGATCTACGTGCTATATAGTGACGTCACATATCGAGGTGACGATCTACGTGCTATATAGTGACGTCACATATCGAGGTGACGATCTACGTGCTATATAGTGACTGGTAATCAGACACAAGATCACTATTAAATCATTACATATTCGTCATCTTATAGGATGTGACGCGTCTGACGAATCAGAGGCTGGTTCGTGTCGCCGCGGACGGCATGCGCGCGGATATGGTGGATGCTTACTTGGCATATTAAATTTCCCCCCAAAATATAGTCACTATTCGACTGTTCCTTAGGCATAAATGTGAAACCCCGAGTGAATTTGCGCCGGTCAAAAATCCCACAGACCACAGCTGAGGCACGTGTCTAACTAGCTCTAGTGACGCCATTATTCAAGTAAAAGCATTCAAGTAAATCTTAGTCTAGTTACAGGCTTTAGTACATCTCAAGTATGGGAATTTATAGAGAAATTAATAGGTCGCGTGTCATCATAGAAACAAATTACGTTTAAATGTACAAGATTCGTGCAGGCCTCGCTAAAGATGGACACTATCACTAACAAAAATAAAATACAGCCTATTTACAAATCGGAGCTAAACTCAGTTAGATCTCCTTGTCGTTACACGAAACAAGTTGTGCTCTGACTGGGACATTTTCTCGTATACGCGAGCATGTCAACATAACGGATACACGGAAAAACAACCTATCTGATCTACAAGATGATACGTTTAATATATATATATATATATATATTTAGCGGATAGTATGTTCTTTGGTAAAGACCTATTATACCACGAGCTAATATGATCATAGGTATTCTTATGAGGTTTTATATTAGCTCTTGATTATACGTAAGTAACAATAACAGATGTGGGCATGCGCGGACCTTCACAAACAACTTTTTAATTCTATGATTGACTATGGCGTTACCAATATCAGTTTGCTGTTGAATTGGGTCAGTACTGTGCACACGCACGCACGCACGCGGGAACGCACGCACGCACGCACGCTCGCGCGCCCGCACGCACGCCCCCCCCCCCCACACACACACATACACCCAAACGTCTGAAACGTAATCGAACAGAGCGCGTGTATCTTTCATCGATAAGCCACTGTTTAGTTTCTGTCGACGCTATTTACGTGTGTACATAGCTTAGTCCGCATCCACCTGCCTCCTGTGCTATGTGGTGTCTGTCAGGATAGCAGTGCAGACGCCCAGTGGCATGACCACCACGGCTAACATCGCGAGATCTCCATACCGCGTCCTGATTGGTCGCCAATGATCAGGAGACTGAGAGAGAGAGATGCGTGCGGTCGAGCGCGATGTTTAAAGAAAGTCGTACAAGAATAGTTTGAACTCTGCTGAAGAGCATCGCGGCTATTCGCTTCTCGTTCGGAGTTTACCGTGGTTAGCTTTACGGCACACACATGCTGCGGTTAGCGTAGATCGCGTGAACGCACGCAGATACACACCGCCGGGTTGCTTGGCAACAATAAATGAGTATGACGGATCATTTTTATTCCAGCGAGATCCGCGCTCGCATCAAACAGCAAAGTAAATCAAACATGTATCGTATTTAAGGCGCGCGGTAATTCTTAAGTTGCCGGCGCCGAGCTGGTGCAGGTAATTGAAGCAAAACCTGTTAAAGTAAATACCGGCAGTATAAGAAGTGACATATGACTTCCGGTTCTGTTCTTATCATGCTTTTTGCTTATCTCTGTCTTTTTACATGAATATATAATGTGTAGCGTTTCGTGATCTCCCGGGAGTCCGGTGCCACCGCTACACTTGTAATAGATTACACAGGATATGAACCCTTATGTCAATTGGCTTGGGAAAACATTTGCAATTAGTTTTAATGAGTATAATGCATCACATCTTCATGTCATTCTTTCGTATAAACTGGTACTGCATGTCGTGCTCACGCTTATGCTGAGCAGACGGTAGAATGTCACTGGAGTTTAAGTATTTTTAACTTTTAATTCATGTATAGCCTTGAACATCTTGTTGTCTGGGTTCGCGTAACAGAGTCTGCGGGGCTGATATTGGCACCAAAAATGCCGCCGCACTCGGTTTGACCATAGATATCATATAAACACACCGTGTTTGTATATATATCCATGGTTGGACGCAGGACGCGACCAGAAATCGAAGTGTGCTGCCACCTTTTGGAGACAGTGAACGCTAATGCGCAAACTTATTCGCAATTATTTCTTCCGAGCTGACATAAAGAATCCTTTCATATTTCGTACTATGTAGACCCACAATCCATCTCGAAAATCTGTATTATAGTTATTGTTATACTGTCTCTCAAGCTACTGAATGTATTTCCGAGTTCGTGACGAGAACGGTTAAAAGCTTTAAAATGAGATGTTTATGGCAGGGCCGTAGCCTGCGGGGGGGGGGCAAGATTTTGGAGCAAAATCAAACAAATAAATTGTTTTACTAAAAGAGAATTGTCGTAGTCAGAATGAAGGCTGTACATGTACTCAAAAGTGCCTCAAATACCATCTCCTGCGATCTACATTTTCAAAATTTTCTGTGGGAGGACCCCCTGACCCCCACCTGTTTCTCACCCCCTCTTTGAAATCCATGCCTTATAACCGATGTTAAACGTGATGTTTCTGGTTTGTCCTCAGCTCTCGGCAGACGAAGATAAGGATACCATGATAGACATGGTGACCGGCATACATTGCCCCGATCCGGTGAGTATCAACCTCATCATGTTGATTTAATGCACGTGACTTCGGTACTGGACGGACATTGTTTTCTCGTGGAGATGCACACTAGTGTTTCGTACGTAATTCGTCGTTCTAATTTCGCGATATTTCCCCGCTCCCACCAGCGACGGCCATTCTTTCCAACGCACCGAAGTGGCGACGGCAAAACGAGAGTGCGACGTGATGCTGCCGCGGCGCAGAGGCAGCAGGTGGCGCCACCGCGGCCGGACCACGTGACGGACGTCGATCGGCAGACGACGCTATGGCTGCACACGAGTCTCGCCTACATCATGTCGCGCCGGTCTGATCCAGCAGAGGGCAGCAGAGTCTATCTGAAGCGATTTGTAGCGAACGGACTGCTTGAGGATGGTGAGATCGACTCCATAATGGCGTGCATGGCACGCGAGAGTCTCACCGACTGTGTTCAGGGCCTCCACCTCCAGGCCGCGCCACCGCTGCTGCAGCAAACGCTGGAGGCGTGGACAGGTGGCGCTGCGAAGCAGTCACAGAGGTCGAACGTTGTGTTGGGTTTCTCGCTTGGTGAGCATCCCGCGTGTGCCTTCGTCTTCTCTACATACTGCTTCGCGGTGAACGTTAAACGTAATACGATTCTCCGAGTTATGCGGAATCGTGACTGTCTTATGAAGCCATTTTAGCCTTTTATATTTTGAGGTGTACATGTGTGGTCAGATGCAGTGCTACTAAAACTATAGAAGAGTGAGAAGTAAACACAGAACAATTGGTGTCGCTCAGATTAGCAGAGCATTTTAGTCTCTCTAAACATTCCTGTGGTTGCTGCATAGTGGCCACGGACCAGTGTGCATCAATTGGCATGTGCATTGCATTCACTGGGCAGTTGACACTGGTCAATGGTCATTAGTAGAGGGCGGTCACCCCACGGTGGCCCCACAGTGGCATGTGAGTTGAGCAGACCGCTGGAATGTTGCTGTACTCCGAGGTACACACAGAAGCGCTGAAGCGGAGCATGCGAGTTTTTCTTTAGAGGAACATAAAAATGCTGCCAGGGTGGTACTTCCGGGGTCACCAACACATTCGTTGGTGATTTGACCACTCGCGTAGGTTTCGAACACCTATCCCTCAGGAATGTCATCAGCAGGCTATGAGGTGATGATCAGTAAACTTAGTGAAACCTGCTTTTCGTCATTACTTGGTGGTTGATTAATTGCTGTCTGCAAAGATGGCGATTGATGACCTCCCATGACCTTTCATTTTTTGAGTGCAGCTCAGTTAGGTGTCGGATATCGTGATCTAGCTTGTATCTAGTTATAAAGATGTCATGACAGATAGCATTGATAGCATTTGTGCTTCATCAGAGTCTTTTTTGCAGAAACATATGCAGAGACTGCATATGTTGTTGGCTCACTTCCAGTTTAGTATGTACACTACACACACAGACACACACTGCTTGTCCGGGTTATCACTTGTCACGGGATATTTATTGGTGGTAAACATTCACTGACTTCTCATTACAGTCGCAGTCTTATATGAGTCTGTGAACTTTCTTAAACCTGACTTCCCCCCCCCCTCCACCGCAGGATTTGGTGAGCTTCCAGAGCCCCTGGAGGCTACGGATCCCACGGACCCTCCAGAATTCAGCTACGAAGAGTTTAAGAAAGCACTGCCAGAGCTGTTTGAAAAGTGGAAGAACCTGATCCAGATCCATCCACACAACAGCAGGGTAGGTATTGTGTGTGATCGGTCAACGATAATGCTGATCGATCAACGAAATGCTGATGACAATCAGATTTATATGAACTTGGTAATCACGACACAATTAATAGCGTGAAATTTCGTGACGTGAAGAACTTTTTACTATTTTCCTTGACTATATATGTTTGTAGGTGCATTCCTACAGGAAGTTTATCTACCTCATGAAGTAGGTGATCTCCTAACTGGAAATATTCCCTTAGTCTGAGTTTCCATAAGTGATTTCCGATGCAGAGTATTTCTGTAAGTGCTTGAATCAACACGAAATGCGTACAAGACAATTGCCCGTGCTAGTTCGTGCAGTGTGTAGCCCATGATGTGTGCTTATATTAATGTGGAATTGGTTATAGTTAACATATCAGTGTTTTAACAACATTGCAGGAGCTAGGTTCTGAGTTCAATTGTTCCACAAAGAAACCACCAGGTGTCCACAAACCACCAAAGTCAGGTAGGTGTATTAAATTTCCCCTTCTGTCAGTCACGTCAACAAGTTGAATAGTTGAAGCACAAAAAAAGAATAGAAATTTTGCTGCTAGACATATCTTGTCCTTTCGGTCACAAGCTAAGTGTATTGAACCTGCATGGCACAGAGCCATAATCATAGTGGAATTTTGGTGTTTGCAGTTCATGAACTCACGCCGTTCGATGTTCAGGTCGTTGCTGCCTTAGGAGATTCACTGACGGTGAGTATCTCACATGTTTGTACATTCACCCCGAGTAACTGTCGATTGTCTATCCTGATCCCTATGAGCTTCATATCTTGTTCTGCTTGCTTAGTTGACACTCTCTACAAGTCCAACCACACCCATACCATCACATATCAGTTTGTACAGGGAAGTGCTATGTAAGCACAAAGGTATATGTTGGAGTGCAATTATATAATGAATGTTTCAATATGCTATGCGTGTGAAAGGATGTGTCATGTATTTAATATGTGTGGTTGCTAAAGGCAAATGTGTATAAAAGAAATCACGTATTCTCACCGGTATATCTCAGGCAGCAAATGGAGCTAAAGGCATCAAACCGTTGGATTGCCTGACACAATACCGAGGAGTATCATGGAGTATTGGTGGCGACAAGAATCTCACACAGGTCGTGACGTTGCCCAGTAAGTACCGGATCACACCTTAATTAACTAGTCTACTGATTTCTAAAAGATGCTCGATCATATATCCAACCTTTGTTATTGACATTCTGTCTGTTCGCCGGGCACACCCAAGTTATCCGGGGTTAACCTAGCTACGCATGAGAGAACGTACGATTGCCCTTCTGACGTCACATTCTACTTACTCGGGAAAGGCCCAAGTAACCCGCTAGCTGACTGGGTTACAGTCATACTCGTGGAAAATGCTGCTTCAGAACAGTGCCATCTAGTGGGAAAATTGCACAGATTAGTGGCTGTCGCATAACAATCTTTGTTTTCGTGCTGTTAGATATTCTGCGCAACTACAACAAGGACCTCCGTGGTTTCTCATTGTACGAGGCAGAAGCAGATGACATCAGTCTAGCCCACCTGAACGTGGCAGTACCTGGCTCGATCGCCCAGTAAGTATATAGCCTTCCATCCGCAAGATTCAAAATGAAGGCGAAATAAGAAAAAAAGTGCTAATTTTCCTCTGGAAATTTAGTGTAACAGCAAAAACCTAATTTTCATTGAAAATTTTAGGTTTTTCTGGTTAAAATGATTAGTAAAGGGCCACAGAACGGGTGAGGAGTGGTTCGGGAATTTACTATTCTCATGCCTATCCTTAATGCTAACCCCAACAGCAAATAGATGTGATAAAAAATGTCCAAAATTTTCTGCTAGAAACTACTTTAAACTTTTTCGTTTTCGGCAACAGATTTGCACCTTTCAGAAAAAGGATATATGTTAATTTAGACACGTATGATGAGATGAGTGAATTAGTGATGATACATATCGCTTAGGATAATATTTGTTTATTAGTGGTAAACAATTCAAAATTCTGCAACAACTTGTCTGATGATTCATGTATATGCTTTTTATGTCCCTCGTTCCAATTCTAGTAGCAGTTATAATCGTGTATGGTGTACACAGGGACATGCCTAGTCAGGCCAGAGAGTTGATCCAGAGACTGAAGTCGGGGATCCACGGTGCAGACTGGGAGAATGATTGGAAGGTCATAACCCTGTTTGTTGGTGGTAACAACCTCTGCAAGGCATGCCTTCTTCCACGAGCGGTTAGTTTTTATCCACGTTTTAAGTTTATAAGTAAAAAGCAAATCTTAGTTTTATTCGCACATTGCTATTTTAGCAGCTCAGATGTGGATGAACTAGCTATCTTCCACCTGATGAATTTCTTTTGTCGGATTTCCTTTCCTACTGCTGTTCTTGATCCGGCTGAATTTCGCTGCAGGATACCAATAGTCTGACGAATTTCATCTCGAACGTGACTGAGAGTCTTGACACCCTACATCGGGAGATTCCGCGAGCGTTTGTCAATCTCGTGCCGGCGCCTGATGTGTCGGAGCAGCGTTTCCTCAACAAGGGAGTCGTCTGCTCAGTTCTACACCTGTATGTGCTCATCATCATTGCTGTCTCACTTCCTACTTCTCATGTTCCTACCTCATGTTCTCTCTTTTATTACTTCTTATGTCTCTTTCTCTCACCTTTACCTCGCTTTTTTTCTTCACTCGCCTTCAAGGTCGCTCTCCCAACCTTCGTCTTTACTTTAATGCTTCTCTTCCATTATTTCTTGTTGTGTAGCTCATCCTGACATCACGCTCCAGCACTGGCACACGGCTTGTAGAATCCGCATCGACTCGTCACGTTGCGTTCCGGTCCGTACCAAAGCGTGCCGCGTGGCGTCCGTCGTGCAGGGCCCGATTTTCGCAGTCCGTTGCAACGTGTGGGCAGCGAAATCTTTAACCGGCTCGATCCTACGGTCAGCTGATATTTCGGGACGTGGGGCGGGGTAATCCGAAAACTCGGAAGATATGGGATGATACGAAGCTGGGTGCGTCAAGCTCCAAAGGTTCTCAGTTTTAGGTGTAATAATTAGGGGGGTACATTCACTCGCTTTTTAGACTTAAGGCATCATAGAAAAGAGGACAGTGCAGACTTGCCGGCACAAAAATACTCTATCGGGCGTCGATTGCCGGTAGCGCTCGGTGGAGGTCTCGTGTTGTTATATCGGCATTTACAGTGTAGGAAAGTCTCCATCTAAACTGTGGCCCGCAATTGGAGGTCACAGGTCAAAGCGCTCAATCCCGCGGGGGTCCAGTATAACGGGGGTGGGGGGGCACAGGGCTCAAGATGTTTTAGGCATTTTCTGAAGGACATGGTACTGACGGCAGGACGGGGATTGAAAAACTTTTTTGTTTTGCTCAGCGGTGACCATAGCATTTTTTCATGGCTTTATTTTGAAAGGACCATGTGAAAGGTGTCCCTTCCTGCCTGACACTGCGCCAAGGAGTGCCCGCTGTTCGGATAACTTTTTCTTGACCCTCCAGGGAGGAGGGTTAATTAGCATGGATTTGTTGATCTGTTAACAAAGGAGTGAACTGCTTTTGCTATTAGAGGGCCCCCTCTCCCCCACCCGTCCCCGCTTCTTTCCCCCTCCCCCCAGCGCTCGGCCCCCACCATTTTCTTTCGCCCGACCCCTCTTACCCCTACCCTCCGCCCGCCCCGTACCGCTCGCATCTGCGGATAAGTGGGCGCGTGTCTAAGCAATTGATGTAGTTACGCAACGCGTTCTGCATATCTTGCGCTAAACAAATGCTTGTATGCTACGCACTGGACTGAACTTTTACGTTTATAATTCGTTGCCCACAGATCCTCAGTATTGTAGGCCCGACTCATTTGTATCGCTCTGCGGCTCTTGTTCTCTTCATTCTCTTCCTATCTTTTCCTGTTCTCTCTCTCATCTCTCTGCTATTATCTGTTACTATATCTTCTCTCATACTCTCTCTCTTAATTCTTTTTCTCACTCTCTCTCTTCTCTCTCCTCCTCTTCTCTCTTCTCTTCTTCTCTTTCTTTATGTTCTTCTTCTGTCTCTTTCTTTCTCTTTAACTCCTTTCTTCCCTGTCGTTGCGGTTTTTCTCTCCTCTCTTTCTTCTCTTCCTTCTCTCCTTTTCAATTCTCTTCTCTTCTCTTTTCTCTTTTTCTTCTCACTTTTCTCCTCCTCCCTTGCGTTTTCTCTGGCGTTCGGTCTGCTCGGTCTCGTTTTTCGTCTCTCGTTCTCTCTCTTCAATCACCTCTTGTTCTCTGCTCTGCGTGCCGGCCCTCCCTCGTCCTCTCGTGCACTGCTTTCCTCATCTCTCTCTCTGCTCTGTGTCTCTGCTTTGCTCTCTCGGCTCTCTTCTCTCCCCCTACCCTTTCTCTCTCTACTCTCAACTCATCTCCTCTCTCTCTAACTTTTTTTCTTCTTCCTCCTCTCTCTCTGCTCTCGGGCTCTGGCTCTCTCTGCGCTCTCTGTAGTTTTCTTCTTCTCTTGCTTCTCGTCATCTCTCTCTCTCTCTCTCCTCTCTCTCTCATCTCTGGCCGCGCGTGCTCCTCCTAATTCTCACTTTCGCTCTCTCTCTGCTTCTCTTCTCATCGCGTTTTCTCTTCTCCTTTCTTCCGTGCGTTTTGACGTTTTATTGGTGTCTGTTTGGCTTTGCTTCGTTTCTTCTTTACACTTTGCTCTCTCTTTGGCCTACCTCCCTCTCTCTTCTCTGTCCTCTTCCTTGTTTTTCTTTTTTTTTCTCTGCCCCCACTCTCTTTACTGGGTTTTGCACTGACTTTTTCTCATGTGGCTCTTTTTGAGTCTTTCCTTCTTCCACTCCCAGCCCTCTGCGCCCCTCATGTCTCGTCTCTCTCCTCTCACCTTGGTTTTCTCTTCACTTTGCCATCACACCCCCTAACATACCTTTCTACTCAGCTCAGTTTTTGTTTGGTTTATTTCCCTTTTTTTCTGGGTTCTTCTTATTCTTTTGATTACACCCCTATCTTTTGTGTAGCCTCTCCTATTTGTTTTCCGGTCCCTTCGCCCCCGCTATCTCTCATCCTCTCTTTTGCTCAATCCTCTCACGTCCTCCTTCCTCTCTCCTGCTCTCTTCGGTGTCTCTCTTTATTCTCTCTTTCTCTCTCTCTCGCCTTCTCTCTTTCTTGTCGGTCGCTCTCTGAGGGCTTCGCTCGCGCCGCTTCTCGCTTTCTCTCTCTCTCTCTTCTCCGTTCTCTCGCTGGCCTTCTCTCTTCTCTCTCTTCTCTCTCTCTCTCTAACTCTCCTCCTCTCTCGGCTCTCCTCCTCTCTCTCCTCTCTGCCGTGTTCTCGACTCTCCTCTCTCTCTTCTCTCTCTCTGCTCTCTCTCATGTCTCTCGCCTCCTCCCTCTTTCTTCTCTCTCTGCTCTGATTTTGTGTTCTCTGTGTGGGTTTCCCTGTCTTCGTTCTGCTCTATTCATCTGTCGTTTCCGATGGTTTTTCTGTGTGTCTCTATTTCCGCATTGTGTTCGCCTCTTTTCCGCTTTCGCTCTTTGCTCTCGGGCTCTTCGCTCCTCCCCGCTCTGTTATTTTCTCTCTATTTCTTTCTTCTCTTACATTGCGAAGGCCAATTTCTGGCAAATAAGTGTGTTGGGCCAGGTCTGCTAATTCTGGAGTGTTGTCATGTCTTGGTCTAGTCCTGGTGATTCTCCTATGCACATGTACGATGTTGTCCTTGGTGGCCGCTTACCCGGCAGCGATAGAAGAAGGTGCCATAGAGCGCTTGTCTACGGACTGTTTGGTTACATATATTTGACCCATCGATACAACCGACACCTGGTTTTGCTCGCTGATAGGAACTCGCCACGCCAAGTGGCGCTACGTACACCGCGATGGGGACTTTCACTGCCGTTCTTACCGATACCGTTTGTTCAGAACATGACGGCGCCGCTGGTCGTGGTGGGTATACCTAGTTCCTACTCTGCTACCTTCTCCAAACCGTACCCTCGTTGAGGGGGAGATTGGCATTAACGCCTTGTAACTAACACTAACTCTAACATGTGTGTTTAAGATCGACGGAAAGATCAAGTACGATATGGATTCTTTGGTGTGCACCTGGTATTTGGCTTTCACTCAGCGGACTACATCGCCGACTCCTCTCCGCACACCAAGCTCACTCTCGGAAAACCATGGGCCCCTACTTTTATCTCCAGTACGTCCCTCAGCTCCACCCATGCGCTGACGCCCTGCCATCCACTACTCCTCGACGGTCCCACATCGCTGACGTCTGCGAGACTACCCCAGTTCCTTACTATCCGCGTCGCCACGTTTTACTCCACCACTTACCGTCCACCCATCCGCCTGAGTGCCGACGTCTTACTACGCGCCAGGTCACCACGCGTGCACTCGGCACTCCATACCTTCCCCAGTCACGCATCGTTCTGGCCGCTCGGCGCACTCCCGCATCCATCCCAGTCACCCCATCAGTGAGTCGCATCACACCCTCGTCACCCATAGAGTGCCGCCTGGCCACTCATACTCCCAGATCACTATAGTGATTGCCATCATCATCTCCAGCTCTCCTGGCACTGTCTGAGCTTGCACCTTCCATCAGCCAGTCACCACTGATGACCCTGCCATAATACCTAGTCACCCATGGTGATTGCCATCATCACCCTTAGTCACCGACTCCGCCGCTGCAGCTTGTTCATTCATACCCCAGCCGTCACCCGCTCTCCTCACTACGCTCGCACGGCCTAGCACCTGCCCACTACCCCTCAGTGCCACCAGTCGTCGCAGTGCCACTCCAGCCCAGTCAACCATTGATCGCGAGTGTCATCATAACCCAGTCATCATACCGTGCACGTGCATGCATCACCCTAGGTCCCCATACGTGATGTGCATCCATTACCCTCAGCTCACCAACTGCGTCGAGTCGCACTCATACCACGTCACATTCCATGTGAGTCGCATCATACCTAGCTCCCATAGTCGCAGCTGCACCATAAGAGCCGAGCTCCATCATCACGCATAGTTGCTAGTGCCCTCCTACTACTCTCACGATCCAGTGCAGGTCGGCTCAGGCTCCATCCCAGCGCCACATATGCTCCGCAGCCTGCATCCCATCCACCCTCAGTCAACGCCACTGGTGACGTGCCACATACCAGGTCCATGCACGCGGACCGCGCCTCCGCACTCGGTCGCGGCGCCTCGCGCCGCGCGCCCGGCCGGCGCCGGTCGCCTCGCCTCTCTCTCCTCGCCTCCCCCGCCTTTCTTTCCACCGGCCCCTCTCTCCCCTTCTCCCCGCCCCTATCACGTTGAGTCGTACCTCTATACCTACCGTCCACATCACGGTTCGCCGCTCGCCATCACCCTCACCTCACCCCCACCTCAAGATCGATCCATTGAAGAAAGTGCCATTTCATACGATAGTCAGTCAATGGTGCAGATGAGCACGTCGATTACCCAGTCAGGCGTCAGGGTGTGATGGGTTGTGCATCCATGTACCCTCTAGTCTATTCTGTACGGTGAGGTGCCATCATAGCCCTCTGTCCTCCCATCGCGAATCGAAAGCGGCTCATCATACGCACGTGCAGGACACAATGTGAGTGGTCATCCATACGCTATTGCTGTATCTCTATGGTTGTAGGTGCGCTTGCTATAGGGGCCGCGAGTTTCTTCTCGATTGGGTTTAGATGTTAGGCTCATATACTCGCAGTCACTCATGGTTTGATGTTGCCAGTCATACCGTAACGCTAGCCACCCATAGGTGAGCCCATTGTCATCATTAAGCCGTATGGTTTTCCCCTATGGGTGATATCTTCTTGGTGCATTGCATATCCTCGATCACACCTCCGTGAGTGCAATCTATACCCCCAGTCACGCGGTGGTAGAGTGCATCATACGTTAGTGCGACCATGGGTTGAGTGCAGTCATAGCCCAGTCTATTGCGAACATCGGCTGAGGTGCGCAGGTGCCTATAACCCTCTTCATGCTCTCCACCCTTTACTGCGCGTGAGATGGCATCATGACCAGGTCACTCCCAGAGCATGGTGCAGTGCCCTCATCACGCTCGCACGCGTTCGTACCATTGGTGCTGAGTGCCCGACACTCTATTACCGTCACCTAGTGGCTGGAGTGCATCATAGACGCGCAGGTCCGCGACCATCTGCTGAAGTCGCCATCAATCACTTCTTCATGTTCTGACCATGGGTGAGGTGGCACCTACCATCATTCTCACAGTCACCAGATAGCTGGCTGCGAA